CTGTCTTCCAGATTTGGTGGTTTGCTATAAATGTTTATGTTTTAGGTCCTGTATCTTGGCTAAAGATAAAACTATTCTTCTTGAGTGTTTGCTAGACAAATGTGTTTATTTTTCTGAGGCAAAGTTTTCTTAATATTTTTAATTACTAAGTTTAGCTGATTATTTGTTCTTAGTCTTATTTTGAGGCTTGAACTTTGTGATAAAGCTTACATGCAAGAAAAAAATATGTATTCTGCCTATATTGATTGCTTTTCGGGAGGCATTTATTACTGAAATAATAATGCATATTTATATGAATTGGGATTTGAGGCAGTAGTATAGTGAAGAGATGCATTTATAGTTCCAGCTCATGTTTATTACACCATTTATTTCTTCAGAAGCTACTTATAAAATTTATAAAAGACTACTCTTAAACAGAGCTATTTAAGACCAATATTGTTGGGTTTGACTAAGTTGAAAAAATAATCTAATGTTCAAAATTGTGACTTAAATTTCTTGTTGACATATGCAGGATAATGTTTTTGGTTATTTTATACCTGCTATTGCTATCAGTAGTATACTACTTATACTGTCTGCAATAAAACTGAGTCATTGGAGGACTTCAGGAACATACTGTTTGTTACAATACTCAAGTGTATTGTAATTTAATGGTAAAATCAGAATTCAAAACCATATAGCTTTTGCCTGTATGCTGTATGGGCATTTTTACATAGTCTCTACCACTTCAGTCTTGATTATCTCTTTGCTGTTTAGGATCTCATCTCTACTTATATCAGGTTAGCTTTTGATGCAGAAATATTTTCAGTTGCCTAGAACCTACCAAATTAAGGGTGTTTTTCATTTTGTGTGAACTTTGAACTCCAGTTAAGAAAAAAAAAAATGTTTTATGAATTAAGGCAACATCTGAACCAATATATTGAAAACTCAAGCCATTCCAGAAGTTGAAGAGATTATTTAAATGAGTGAGCTGGTTGAGAGTTGGCAAATAGTTCAGATTATTTTAGGCTACAGTACTTTGCAACTTCTGATAAAATAATTTGCCGTCTCTCTGCAGTTCACACACTCCCCCAAAATTACACATACACTAATTTATTGGGGATGGGTGGGCACCAACTGGTTTAAACTCCTTTCACAGAGTACAATTAAATGTAACTTTCTATTTTGGGAAAGCCTTGTAAAAGGTATTTGAAAAGTAATGTTAACTGGTCCAAAAGATCATTTTTCCAAACCACACTTGAGCCCAGTTTATGGTGTTTACTTTCTGTCAAAACTTAGAAAAAAAAATTCACAGTTAACTTCCATAATTTAAAATGTCTGTCTCATTAGGCATTAAAGAACCATTGGTCAACAGGTATAATATTGTTAGACTGTATAGCTAATGTGAATGTGGATATGACCTCCCAAATAGATCAAAGACTAATCTCTTTGACAGTTACAAGATGGCAGAGCTTGCCATGGGCCTTTTGCTGGTGCACATTGAAACTATTTGTTTGGAAAGCATGCCTGAGGGATGGGAACAAGTTTATAAGGATGAGCAGGTAAAAGTAAAAGGTTGTCTTTTGACATTTCAATTAATTCAGCTTTTGATTTACTTAACATTTAGGCTATTTGCTGGCAGGAGAAACTGGCTTTTTCACATATGCTTTATGTCACTTTAAATTGGACATTGAACGTGCCTCCTAAGTGTACAATGAAATAGATTCTGGTGTCATTAAAAAGAGGTATACTGGCTTCTTACTTTTTCAAACCCTTAGTTCTGCTTTCTCTGATTAAATGTATTCCCCCAATGATAATTTTTAAAAATCTGTTTCTTAAATAATAAAAAATATGTTGAAGTTAACTTTTATGTATTTTTACTTTCCAAAGTATTTTTCCTTCTCACCTAAATTAATCCTGTAGGTAAAATATTGGCAGTCTTTTAAAAGCTCTTTGGATTGTAAAGGGTATTTGAAAATTTGCAAGAAATTGAAATGATGTATTCGTACATATGTTAATTCATTTTAATGAAAAATAAAAGACCAAGGAAAGATAATATAATTTTGCTTATTTAATCTAATAGTTGTTACATTACCTCTATTTTATTTATAACTAATACTTCCTAGAGCAACTGTTGTCATAGGCAGAGTGATCATTATAAAATATTTGTCTGAACATGGCATAGGAAATTTTGAAAATCCTTAAACTGTTATATCTGACAAGGGATAAATCCCAGCTCTACACCTTACATGCCACCTAATGTTTTATTTTTTTTAATTATTTTATTATTTTTTATTTTTATTATTATTTTTTTAAATATATCTTTATTGATTTCAGAGAGCGGAAAGGCGAGGGAGAGAGAGAGAGAAACATCAATGGTGAGAGAGTGATCGATCGAGCCCGCAACCCGGGCATGTGCCCTGATCAGGAATCAAACCCTGATTGCCTGGATTCTAGGTGGACGCTCAACCGCTGAGCCACGCCCTGCCGGGCCCACCTAATGTTTTAAACCTTATTTTTCTCATCTGTAAAATGGTGTAGTGATATCTACCACTTAAGATTGTTGTGAGGATTTAATGAAATGATATGTAGTAAGCACTGCACTGTGCATGGACATTATAAGAGCTCAATAAATGTTATTATCATTTATTATTAATAAGATCTTTGGTTCCCAACTTTTCTAATTTTGACTTTCTATTTAGCTAACTCTTGGTCAATTTCTGTTCTTGGTTTATCAGTTATTCCTGTAACGTGGATTAACCCAAATTATCTTCTTCCTTAAACTTCTCCTGTTTTCTCTGGGTGGGTTACTGGATTGCTTCTCTCAGTGGCTGGAAACTTTGGAGCCATTTTGGATTTTTCCCTCTTTAATAAGCCCCATATCTACATTGTCACTTAAGTTCTGTAGCTCCACAATGTGTTACAAATGGCCTCTTTTCCATTCCTTTTGCCTTTCCAGGTGAGGCCCTCATCACTCTTGCACCAAATTCATAGTGTATCTTCATTTTTCAGCTCCTCTTACTTCTTTATACTGTAAACAAAGTTCATATTTCAGCACTTATATTACTTGGTGACCATTTACAATCATATTTTTTCCTGATCTTTGTAAGCTCTTAGGAGGTAGGAAATGTTTTTAACTCATCTTTGTATTTCTAGTGCCTTTTACAGATGCTTTTGCACACAGCCAAAACTGTAAATATTGAACTGAATTCTTTCTTTAAGCTACCAAAAATGTCTTCTTCCCATTATAGTAATTTTACTACTTTAAATGTTATATTTATAATGTTTCAACAGCATTCTTTTTTATTTAGGTTTCTTTATTAAGCTTTATTGAGGCATAGTTAACTTTGTGGCCTTCTTCAGAGCTACTTAAAATATAAGTCCCTTTTTTCATTCAATTAGTGTATGAAAAATTAAAATCATAATACATAATTTCCTTTCACCCAGAACTTGCATTTTACTTCTTACAGGAGAGCTTTTTGCAGGAAAAAGCTTATTTATTAACTCATATATATTTGAATAAGGTCAGTCTGAATTACGTATATCATACATTCTGAAAGTAGTTTACTCTTGAGTCTATGTAATTTTAAAGATTTTTATGAAGACCAGATGAAAGCTGGGTTTGTAGTACCCTTTGGTGTGACATTGCTTTTAATAGGAATATAGTTTTCTGCCCTGTAATTAACTCTGAGTCCCTTTGAAAAGGAATATGACTATAATATCAAATTTAATAACTAGATAGCAGAATTTATTATGATTCCTTTTTCCAGCAAAGAAGTAGAAGTTTGATTTAACAGTCTCTGTGTGTTAGTCCCTAGATAGAAAATGAATGTAGATTTAATCAGAAAAGTGAGAGATTCTTGATATCCTTTAATAAGTGGAGCCTTTGAGGCAATAATATATCAAATGCATTAGTATTGTCTCAACTCTGAATTTTAAATTTGATTAGATCATTACAGTCCGCTTTCATATGCTTTGATTCTTTTACACCAGTGTCTTCGTTGTGTATGAAGTTATTTTGCACTCATGTACAGGTATGGGCAAAAATAGGTTTACAGTTTATTCCTATGGAAAAAGACATGCAGGTTATGATTTTTACAATATAATCTTATTAGCTCAATAGAATGTAACAGTGGCACAAGGTTGTACGTAAGTACACTGTGCCATTGTGACATTCTTTTGAGTTAATAAAGCGATTGTAGCCCGGTCGACATGGCTCAGCGTTTGAGCTTCGACCTAGGACCCAGGAGATTGTGGTTCGATTCCCGGTCAGGGCACATGCCCGGGCTGCGGGATCGAATCCCTGTGGGGGATGTGTACGAGGCAGCCAATCAATGACTTTCATCATTGATGTTTCTCTCTCTCTCCCCCTCTCTCTGAAATCAATAAAGATATTTTTAAAAAAGAGTAAACCTCATTAAAAAAAATAAGCAATTGATAATCATAACCTGCATGTCTTTTTCCATATGAACAAACTGTGAACCTATTTTTGCCCAGCCCTGTGTTTTGGATATTACCCCTTATCAGATGTTTCTTTGGCGAATGTCATCTCTGGTTCAGTAGGTTATCTTTTCATTTTGTTGATTGTTTTTGCTGTGTAAAAACTTTTTAGTTTGATATAGTCCCATTTGTTTATTTTTTTCTTTTGTTTCTCTTGCCAGAGGAGATATATTAAAAAAATATTACTAAGAGCAATGTCAGAGAGTTTACTGCCTGTTTCCTTCTAGGAGGGAATGTAAGGATGAATAGATGAGTTGGGGTGGTGAACACACAATACAGTATATAAATGATGTATTATAGAACTGTACACCTGAAACCTATGTAATTTTATTAACCAATGTCACCCCAATAAATTCAATTAAAACGTGAAAAAAAAGTTTTAAATGAACTAAAACAAATTTAGTACTGAAAAACAAAATCTCTCTACCATACAAAATAATGTTTGAAATGTTAGTTAGTTGATATGATTTTTTAAATGAGCTTTAATTATATACTATATTTTTTATATATTTTAAAATTATTAGGTTGAACTAAAGCGCCAGTATAATGACCAGCATTCAAAATTGAGAGGTCTTTTACCTGGTCGTCAATGGTATGAAATTCAAGCATACAGGGCCTTAAACCAGGCCCTGGGTAGGTAAGTGAAGTGAAATGTAATGTAATGTTACTGTAACATTATCTGTGAGCAGGGATCTATATAGAGCTAGTCTTACTACTTCACTCCTTATAATAAATTTGATAGAATTTATTTCACTAGAAGTCTAGGAACTGGTATATTTTCAATGATAGATGTCACAAGTGAAAGTTGCAAAGAAACCAGTGGAATAAATGAAACCCTAAACAAAACTACCTTTGCTAAAGTTTGAAGATTTTTGATCGCTCAATGAATGTCACACAAAGGTGTTCAGTAAATGTTTATAGAAGCTTGCCACCAAACAATACAATTTTTATCTTATGTCCATCAGACTCATGATGATTTTATGAGTAAAAAGCAAACCATTTAAGAGGTTAAGTTAAACTATGCTCATGATACTAAAGAATTAACACCAGCTGATAATAAAATTTAATTATAATACTTCTTTTTCTAAGGATTCTGGTTCATTAAGATTTGTACTTTGTGGAACTAGTTTTTAAATCACCAAATTTTATATCATAATTTCATATTGGAGGAGACCAACATTTAATTTATACTTCTTTTTACTTATCCAAATAAAATTATTCTTTAAGAAACCCATAACATTTTATACATTATCTCTATTATAACGTATATCTTATTGTATTATAATAGTCTGTTATTTCTCTGTCTCCTTCCCTAAACATGTAGTACACATTTTTTTATTCTCAGCAACTATGTCTCAGCTTGGGGTATAAATGCTTAATTAATGTTTGTTGAATTAGTGGAAAATGCCAGGTTCATTGCTTTTTTCATTATACCATATTGGTCAAAGAGCCTCTAGAGCTTAAAACCTACTTTTCTAGAATTTAATAAAAAGGATGTGTTCATAATATTGATATATAATACTGTAGTTTTAGTATTTTGTTAATTAAAAAGTGGATAGCCCAACTGTCATTGTACTGATTTTAAGGGAAACAGCATCAACAAGTAACAACTTAATAGAGAAACATGTCCATTTAAAAATCAAGTAAATATTTTACATCATTTGGTAAAACTCATAATGTGGATTGATTGACATAAAAGGTGCTTATATTCATACACTGTCCTTACAAGGGATATGTCTAGAGGGTCTAAAGTAAACAGAAACAAATTGTGTTTAAAAAGTGTTATCTTTTTTAAGGCCACATGGGACTATTAGAGTATTTGAAGTAATATAAGTCCATGAAATGTAATAACCGCCTTCGGGAAAGTACCAGATGTTTTTGTGACCAGGTTACAACTGGACTCTGAGTTTCCCAACAGCTCTGCTTTACTAAAAGTACAGTCCCTTTCTCAAGTGGGCATAATTCATTTGAGCAAGGCAGTACGAACACAATGGGAAAATGAAAAGGTGAAACCTTTTCCTCTGAACTGTTTTGTTAATTTGCATGCCTTTCTTCCATAGGGCATTTTAAATATAAACTGTGGTGGAACCAAAACAGAGTGGCATCCTGACTTTCTATTGATTTTCAACACTGTTCTGTAATATTGGCAATATCCACCTTCCCGTTCTGCCCAATTTTATAGTCCGATACCTTGGGACCCATGGATTACTTAAAAATTATATCAAAAAAGAATGTCATATAAAATTTAGATTTTTTTATGTTGTGGAAAAATCTAACATTCATATTAATCTTCACCTCCTCTCAAAATCCCATGATAGTAACGGAATAAAAATGCCAAACCTACAAAATTAGAAAGAGTGGGAGAGGGGACAACAGACAAGGTGTCAACAAATTCTGAGCACTGGAAAAGAGATGAATGATTGAATGACTTAGCAGGCAAGAGAAAACTGAAATTTAAATCTGTAGTCATGAAAACTAACAAGATTCTCCAGATTTGGGCATAGAAAAGCTTAGGACTTGGGGGCACTATAAAGTTTCACTTAAAGTAAGGTTAAACACAAGAGGATTGGTTGCAAGTTAGTATACAAAATAGTTTGACAGCTCCCACCCCCACCCAGGTTTACTCTCTGGAGAGATTAAACTAGAGTCTATATATTCTTCAACTCCTGGGACAGCTAAGGATGTATTAAAGATGGGGATTAAGAAAAGTCTACCTACTGAATGTGAGAACTCCATCTCCTTTTTCTTCTCAGCTCTGAGTGGGCTGACAATCAATCTTATATCTCCAAGGCAGGAAAGTACAGTATTTCTCTTTAGGGAAACTGACCACTCCATGAGTAAGGGTTTACAGATAGTAACAAAGTCGCCCTTGCTCCTGCCGGATTACCTTACTGCAAAGTCTCCTGGCCTATAAGCCCCACCCATGTATGCAGAGCTGCCAATGAGCGTTTTAGTGCCTTACTCTTAAATAAGTCCAGAGTCTTTAGATATTCAAAGAATATCTGTAACATGAAAAATAGAAACCAAAACAATAGGAAAATAATACCAACAAACCAAAACAGGGTAGAAAAACTCACAGAAATCAGAAACTGCAATACAATAGGGGTTGGCAAACTTTTTTTTTAAAGGGCCAGATAGTAAATATTTTAGGCTTTTCATGCCATATTCAGTTTGGCATATTCTTCTTTGTTTTTCTTTAACCCTTTAAAAATGTAAATACCACTTCTACCTTGCAGGCTGCACAAAAACAAAATATGGACCAGATTTTCCCTGTGGGTCATAGTTGGCTAAACTCTGAATAGAAGAAAACTTAAAAAAAAATAAGTATCAGTAATATTTATAGAGAGGTAAGATAAGCGCCTCCATAAAAGAACAGAAAATAAAAAGCTCCTAGACATTAACATGATCGCAACAAATTTTAATGCAGAATTGGGCTTAGAAGATAAAATTGAAATTTCCCAGATCAAAAAAGACAAAGGGAAACTAGGAAAGAACTAAAAAGAAAAGAGGATCAGTGTGCAAAAGCCAATTTCTGATATGATCCACATGGAGAGACTAGAGGAAATAGAGGAAAGAAACATCAAGAAATAATTTAAGAAAAATGCTCAGAATTAGAGGACATAATTTTCCGATTGAAAGGGCTCAATTAACTTTAATGAAACTGGTTATTTCTCTGTCCTACACAGTTATTATACTTTTCAACTCCAAAATTTCCATTGGGTTCTTTCTTTAAAAGTGTGCAATTCCATTCCTAGGTATATACCCAAGAGAATAAAAATATGTATTCATACGAAAACTTGTACACAGATGTTCATAGCAGCATTATTTATAATCGTCCAAAGGTGGAAACAACCCAAATGCCCATTAACTTATAAATGGATTAGCAAAATGTGGTATATCCGTACAGTGGAATATTAATCAGTCATAAAAAGGATAGAAATACTGATACACAATACAAGTAACCTTGAAAACATCATGCTAAGCGAAAGAAGCCAGACACAAAATGCCACATATTGTATGATTCCAGTTATAGGAAATGTCCAGAATAGGCAAATCTATACAGAGAGAAGGTAGATTAGTGGTTGCCAGGGTTTAGGGAGTATAATTGGGGTAACTGGGAGTGACTAATAATGGGCACTGGTTTTTTTTGGTGAGATAAGAATGTTGTGTAATAGTGGTTGTAGGCTGTACAACCTAGTAAATGTACTAAAACCCACTAAATTGTACACTTGATTAAAACATTTTTATAATAAAAATTTTTTTAGCAAATCAAGTCCAACAATCTATAAAAAGAGTAATGCACCATGACCATATGTAGTTATCCTATGAATAAAAGGCAGTCTGAATATTCAAAAATTTGTCAATGCAGTCTACCACATTAACAATCCAAAGAAAAAAACTGCATGAACATATACATTGGTGCATGTCAAATGTTTTTATCAAATTAAACATTCATTTATGATAAAAAACTCATTAAACTAGAATAAAGGTCATCTCTATAAAATCAACAATTAATATAATGTGTGAGGTAAAAAATACTCTTTGCGACTAAGGAAAGTTTTGGAAAATATTTTTTTTGTCTTTCAAAATAGAATGCATATAACATTTTGGGATGTTGAGTTATTAGTAGTCAGCAGAAGTAGGGGATTTTGTTATACATCTACTTTGGAACAATGTAGTGAGTAGTTTCTATAACCTTGTCATGATAATGAGTTTGATTAAAGGAATATAAATCAATGACACATCATTTTTTTCAGTCTTCTATTTTTCCCATTAGAAATTTAGCTTTTATTTTCAAAGTTATATCTATTTTATTTTCTCCCTATATTTTATAGATGTATTCGACACAAAAATGATTGGGGAGCTCTTATTCTAGTGGATGACCGCTTCAGGAGTAACCCAAGTCGATATATATCTGGTAAGATACTCAGCTTGGCTTAGAGTAATGAATTAATAACAAACTTTAATGACTTTTATTTTTAAAGACAAAGAATTGGACAAAAAATTTTAAAATTAAATTTATTGGGGTGACATTGGTCAATAAAATTATTTAGGTTTCAGGTGCACAATTCTATGATACATTATCTGTATATTTCATTTTGAGAATTTGAATATTTAGATCAAACATGGAAAATTAATATTGAATGGGATTCTACCCTTTTAATATTTATGTGTTTGCCAAAAAAATCTTTATAGAGGAGAATCTGGTTAATTATCAACATAGTATTAATCAATCAGGATCCTTTAATTTCATAGAATGTGGGATTTCACTCAGTAACAGTAATTATTTAGCATTGTCAGGAAAAAGGCTGTTCTACAGAAATGACTTTTCTAAGAAATATTAAGTTTTTCTTTTAATTTATCTTTATTGTTGAAAGTATTACAGATTTCCCCCCATTGATCTTCTCCACCCCACATCCACCCCACCCAGGCCTTCCCCATACCAATGTCTGTGTCCATAGGTTATGCATATAAGCATATAAATTCTTTGATTAATCTCTTTCCACCAACTCCCCCACCCCCGCCTTCCCTCTGAGATCCCTCAGTCTGTTCTGTGCTTCTGTGTCTCTGGATCTATTTTGTCCATCAGTTTATTTTGTTTTAAGTTTTTAAATTTAAACACTCAAGCACACCTCCTTTGTCTCCTTAGTATTCTTTACTCTTTCTTTCTGGGTTATGTTGAGGTTTGTTGTGTTGGTTGGTTGGTTGGTTGGTTGGTTGGTTGGTTGGTTGGTTTAGAAATGTTTCAGTTATTATGGAGTTTATGTTAAAGCTAGTATTTTCTAAAGGGAAAAACACATTGTATGCCACAAAATCAAATAGGTGGTCATTTTCCCCCCACTCAAATGTACAAATATGTCTCTATTCAGGTGGTCCCTGACTTTTTATAGTGTGACTTATGATTTTTCGACTTAACAATGATACAGAAGTTATACACTTTCAGTAGAAACCATGCTTTGACTTTTGAATTTTGATCTCTTCCTGGGATAGTGATATGTGGTAGGATACTCTCTGGTGATGCTGAGCTTTAAAAACTAGGTTTTGCCTGGCCAGGCGTGGCTCAGCGGTTGAGTGTCGACCTGGGATCCAGGCGATTGGGGTTCGATTCCCTGTCAGGGCACATGCCCGGGCTGCGGGCTCCGTCCCCAGTCAGGGCATGCAGGAGGCAGCCGATCAATGACTCTGTCATCATTGATGTTTCTGTCTCTCTCTCTCCCTCTCTTTTCCTCTCCCTGAAATCAATAAAGATACATTAAAAAACAAACAAACAAAAACAAAAAAACACAACTAGGTTTCATATTAGATGATTTTGCTCAACTGTAAGCTAATGTAAGTGTTCAGAACACATTTAAGGTAGACTAGGCCAAGCTATGATGTTCAGTAGGTTAGGTGTATTAAATGCACTTTTGACTTACAGTGGTTTATTAAGACAAAACCCATCATGAGTCGAGGAGCATCTGTAGTTGTTATTTTTCAGTAACATAGCCCCTTTTGAGCAATATCAGGAATCCATCAGTTATTAAAGAACTGTTAGAAATATTGGCATTGGCATCTTTATTATTATCTTTAATGCTAGAAAGTTCATACCATACTATAGTGAAAAGATGCTGAATTTTAAATTTGTTTCGGGTTAGCTGTCTATAGGTATGGACTATACTTTTTCCATTTCAGAGCCTAATTACTATATTTGGTTTGATATCAAAACATATTCACCTGGATTAAAGCAGCAAATGCTGCTTTATTAGTTTTCTTTCCTTTGTATGTAAAGCAAGCCATTGTGCTTAGGTCAAGACAAAACTGAAAGCAAAACGTTAAGTGCTTATGTTTAGTCAGCAGGTGGAGCTCAGATTCTTTCAAGTTTCAAAAGCAAACTGATATTTTACACTGAAAAGGCCTTACTTTGGTTACAAAATGGTCAAAATGAAAGAGGTAACTATAGTACTAAAATTTCTCAATTTTAGAACATTTCATATTTTTAGGTGGTATAATTATTTTCTCCTAGCAACCAAAAATAAAGACGTTAAAGGAAATTCTTATTTAATTTAAAAAAATTTTTAAATCTAGGACTTAAACTTTTACCTTTTAGTTCAGATTTGTTTAGTGATTTTTTTGAATTAAATACGTTTTATTTCTGTATGGTTTTAATTTATTTTTTCTGAGACTCAAAGTGTAAAACTTTTCTTACCTAGGCATTAATAGTACAATATACATATTTCTTTTGATGACTGATTTCTGTTTAAATTCGATTTTTGTAAATATAGATTGATAGAAATGCTCCATTAAGAAAAACACACTAAAGGAATGTATTTGAAATCAAAGTATAATAGTTCAAGTTGCTTGAAGCCCTGTCTTATCTTTCTCTGAACTTGAAACACCATAGTGACTTTTTATTTATTTATTTTAATTAAAAAAAAATTTTAATCCTCACCTGAGGATATTTTCCATTGCTTTTCAGATTGAGAGTGGATGGGGGTTGGGGAGAGAGAGAAACATCAATGTGAGAGAGACACATCGATTGGTTGCTTCCCACATGAGCCTGGGATCCAGCCTGCAACTGAGGTACATGCCCTTGGCTGGAATCAAACCCAGGACCCTTCAGTCCACAGACCGATGCTCTCACCACTGAGCCAAACCGACTTGGGCCATGGTGACTTTTTTAATTACTCCAAAAGATTATGATAATTTTAGTAACATTAACAGAGAAAATTTATTTTCTAAAAATTCAAGTATCTGATTTTGAATTTCATTCTGAAGTGAATCATACTATAAAACCCCTTACATTCAATATGGCTCATTTTTATGCAGTTTGTCCTCTACAACTTGATAATTTATATATTTTTAAAATAATGTAACATTTAGATAGGACATGATTTGCCCATAAAAGTGTTATTCCTTTTGGCCTCCAGAGTAGTTTAAGGTATATTTGGAATTAGGGGAAAAGAGAAACAAAAACCTATGAGATTGGAATCTTGAATTTATTTTTGTAAAAGGAGTCAAATTTAGAAAGTAGGAATGCAAGATTGTATTGTTTCCAACTCCTAGTTTCCCTACAATGAAAAGGTAGGCAGTTTTTGTGGGAAATTGTGAAATTAAATTTGCCTTATTCTCCAGTTATTCTAAACGGAAAAAAATTCCACACCCCCAGCCCCCCCCCAACTTTACTCCTATTGCCTCTTCCCTCTTTCCAGTTGACAATCATTGCCTATAAAGAGAAATGTTACTGATATATGAGCATATTGTATATATGAAGGCAAAAAGGCAGGAAAAGTATTGAGAACCATTCTATATACTTTAAATTCTAGATTACTTCATAAGAAAAATTATCCAAGTTTTTTCTTAATACACAATATCTTAATAATGAAATAACCAAAGTTTCTTCCCTGGGTTTACTTTTCCCTTAGGACTTTCTAAATGGGTACGGCAGCAGATTCAGCACCATTCAACCTTTGAAAGTGCACTGGAGTCCTTGGCTGAATTTTCCAAAAAGCACCAAAAGGTCGTTGGTATATCCAAAGAGGACAGAGAGTCTGTACAGGACAGTGAGTCTATACTTGAAGTCGCTTGTTTGAAGGACAATTCCTCAGCTTACTTATTAGAAGCAGCAAGTCATCTATCACCAGAGAATCCTAGAGAAGGTAAAGCAAAAATGGGTGTCCAAGAACTAAAATGTCCTAAAATTAATAACTAAAAGTTCATCTTTACCAAGTGACATCACCTCCAGGAAGGACAAAAGTATGAAAAGTTTTTTCCATTTACATTTGGTAGAGAAGTCTTCTGTTATGTTTAGTGAAATTATATTTTTGTATTATAGATTAATTTCCTTAAATATGTTGGTTTGTAATATAAAATATAAATTACTGAAATAGTATAGTGTATTAGAATGGGAACAAACTTTTATCTGGAGACCTAAGCACATTTTCTAATTTTCCATTAACAAGCTTTGCTACTAACTAGCTTTGTGACCAGGAGCAAGTCACTTAACTTTTTTGAGTTGTAATAGAAAAAGATTATCTGCATACCTATCCCTCAAGGTTGGGTTGTAAAGATTTAATAACATGATAAATGTCACAGTATGTAAAGTAGTATACAAATGCTGGATGTTTTTCTAAAGGCTATATTAAAAATTGGTCTAATTTATAGATATTTTTCTTGCATGAGTTTCTTAGTTTAGGGAAATGAAAGTCATTTATTCTAAATGATAAAAAATAATATTTCAAAATATATTAGAATATAATGGTCAATATAAGGGATTGGCAAACTATGGCCTATGGACCAAATTTGGCCTGCTGTTTTTTTAAATAAAAATGGATCACAGTTACACCCATCATTTACATACTGTATACAAAGTCAGAGTTGAGTAATTGTATGTATTACACTAGAACAGCACAATCGAGTACTTGCAACAAATAAAATATGATCCACAAAACCTAATATATTTACTGTCTGGCCTATGATAGAAAACGTTTGCCAAACTGTGGTCTATATCATTGGATATTATTTCAGCTGTTTTATTGAATATTTAGTAGCAATTTAATATATCAATTTTTAAATGTTTATTTTGTAGTATATGCTTCTATGTGCAATAATGTCATAGTGAATTCAAGGTCATTATATTGGTAATCAGGAAACCTAGGTTCTAGTCCAGGGCTGATTACTAACCAATTTTATATCTTAGTCTTTGTAGTGTCAGTTTCCATAAGGGAATTAGTCTTGGTCAGTCACTAGTTAGTGGATTTTGAAAGGACACCTGTTCCCTCCTTTACACAGCCCTCTTCCTCTTTATTTTCACTCCTTTTCTCATTCACTCTTGAGGTTCCCAGTGTGGAATTTGAAATTTTACCATACAGCTATATAACTTGGGTTAGGACTCACTGGAGACCTAAGATCCTTTTCAGAGTTAATATTTTGTGCTTTACATTCTAAGATGGAAGTCCTGCTACTACTGGTTGTGTGCTCAAAATTTTGTATCCTATAAAGTTATTGTAGTATTTCTAACAAAAATCATTTTAATAGAACAATGATTATGTTAGGAACAGAAAGTTAATGTTTATAAATTTTTATATTCATAGATGATCCAGTATTATTAGAAGAGTCTGGCCAGACAATGCAAGCAGAAAACATTGTGATTTCCAGATCTGCAAGCCCGACCTTCAACAAACAACCAAATAGAGTTAGCTGGTCTAGCTCTAATTCTTTGGGACAGTGTCTTATGGGTAAAATTCTGACTGCAACACCTAACTTTAGGTCATCAGAGGACTGTGCCTCTAGTTCTTCCACCTTCAGAACGGAGAAGCATTGTGAGATTGTTTTGCCACTCACTGATAAATTTGAGTCCTCATCTCTAAGAGTAAACACATCATTTGAACCATGCCCTCAGTCAGAAACTATTATTCCATCAGTAACAACGGAGGCTGCTCTTCTTAAAAAAGGTAATTTCAAATGGCCACTCTGCTGTGAAGAAGCCCTGGATCAAGACATTGAATTGTCTCTAGCAAGTGGAGAAGATACACTTTCTACTTCAAATAGAGCTTTTGAAACAGAAGCAGAAGATGAATCTATCTATTTTACACCTGAACTTTATGATTCTGTAGATGCAAATGAAGAAAAAAATGAACTAGTTGGAACTGATAGAGACAATAGATTGACTAATAATTCAAATTGTATTTTAGCTGAAGATCTTTTTGAAATTAGGACTACGAAAGAAGTAGATTCAGACAGGAAAATGAAAGCTGAGGATTGCCCAGACACAAAGTTAAACAGAATCATGCATACTGAAGAAAGTAAAGTTGATGACATTGCTAGTAATATTAAAACAACTAATATAAATGAGTTGGAACTGGGGAGAATTCGTGAAATGGATATAAAGAACTTTAAACAGTCTCCTTCCAAAAATAAAGGTGTGTTCCCTAGTGTTAGATAATAATACTTAACTGTCAAGGTATAAAAATATGCTGTTGTACTTATATTAAACTATTATAAATGATGATTTGTGCATTGACTAAGTGGAATCATTTTTTTAAAATTTGAGACATATTTTTTACTTTGTCATTAGAGTTTTAAAAGTATATTATGTTCTGAAATGTAAGTTTTACTATTCTTGAGTTTTGATAAAGTGATTCATTCAAAATATTTTCCTTCAACAAGTCTTCCTTAGTTAAGTGTAATTCAAAATCAATCAATCTAAGAGATATATAGTTGTCTAGGGCATTTTAAATTTTACATAAGTATTTGCATATTGCAGTTTTCTTCATCTGTTTGTTTTCATATGATACATACAAATTAATAGCAATCTAATTCAGTCATGTTTTGCTATAGATTTTACCTCAAGTTGGTCTGACATTGTTTTTAGAAATCAAAGTTTTCTTGAAAAGTTTTTTCCTGTATTAAACTGTCAAATAGTAATTAAGAATTAAGGAAGAAAACTGCAGGCATTTTCAATTGACATTGTTTTTCATTTGTTTGTTTGGTAAACTAAAATCAAGCATGTTTAAAGCAAACGTATGTAAAGTTATAAAATGCCAAATGAAGGTCTCCAAATTTTCGATTCTAATTACTAAATAGCTTCATCATCACTGGGGGAAAGTGACGTGTTCTATCATAAAGGCTCTAACTTTGCAACAGTTAAGATAGAAAACTTCATGTGTATATTTGATAAGTAAAAGTAAAGATGTAATTAGCTGAAAAATGTTCCTATAAAGCTCAGTAAGTCTTTCTGTTAAATTTTGACTTTATGTTTTTGTGAATGAAGCTATGCTTCTTACCAAAAATGGTTATAAAAGATACTTTTCCCTGACATTCCAAAATTACATTCACTGATCTTTTTCTAAGAAACACCTGTTATTTTTTGGACATTTAGGCTTCTTGTGAGTGATTTGAGTTGAAATTTTATGAGCTGTTCAAGTTGTGGATGTGGTTTATTATTTTTAAGTCAGAATTCCCAGCAATCAAGTTTCTTTTATATTTATTTGGATAACAAGTTACAGTATATGCATAAGTTTACCTTTATTTTGATGATGTTTAGATAGAATACAGCTTAACTGTTTCTATAGCATTGGATGTTACAACTCTAAGCATAGTTCAAAGAAATGTAAATGGGTAATTTACCAGTTAAAGAATTAATTTATGGATTGGGATGTATTATATCCCACTTAGTATTACATATTATTTTTTAGTTGATCAGTGAGTAATAAGTTACAAAACATTAGAAGGTAATTTCTAAATTGTTTTGAAACGGTGTAACCATTTTTTCCCTCTCTGGCATATTTTTAAATTCACGGATAAGGGTAGTGAGTTAGTAGAAAGAATACCAGGTGAAGGAAGAAAAGAGACTTGGGCTCTATTCCTGGCTTTGCCACTAATTCGCTTAATCATGTTGGCAATTCCTATGCCTTTTTGGGAATGTTTTAACTGTGAAATGCACAATTTAGTGCTGTAAAATCATGCAAGTCTCTTTCAGCTTTAAAAATACAGAATTTAAAGAAATATACATTATTTCACTCTGAATTAATTTTCAATTGTTTTTGTTCTAAAATGAGTGAAGTAAAGCAAACCATTTTATAGAACAGGTGAAGTGACACTCATCTACCTTTAGGGAATAATTGTATGATTATGTACTTAATAACTTGATAAGCAAGATATTTAACAATGCTGTGATTAAAACATGTTTGGACCCTTAAGATCGCCTTTAGAAGAGTTGGTAAATTACATGAGAAAATCAAGCACATTATTTTTCAGTCCTACCTTAGTGTTATTATCCAACTTGATTTCAAAAACCATCCCCTTTCCCTAGGTAATATTTATTCCTTCCAAACTCTGTCCAAAGCTAAAAATTTCTGTTATTTAGAATGTATGTAGAGATGTGCCACAGCTTTTAGTAATTCCAAGAGGTGTTTCAAAAATTTTGTACAATTATGTCAGTTTTGAATCAGGTATATAATCTCCTTAGATCATAACTTTGCAAGAAGTTATTGCAAGAAGTAGAGTACTAGGCTTTATAATAGAGTAGGAGGGAGGACATTTTTATTAGTGATTGCATGCTTTTGTAAAGAGATGTTTTAGGGAGTTAAATAAATTAAAACATGTAAAAGCATTTAATAGAGTAACCTGGCACATGGCAAGCCATCAGTTATTAGTCAGTAAAGCTTTATGTGAAGCTTTTCCTAATGGTGATGATGAGGACAGATAAACCAAACAATAAAGAATCTATATATGTGATGGCCAGAGGGGACAGAGGGTGGGAGCTGGGTGGAGGTGGGCAAAGGGGTAAGGGGAATGGGGACATCTGTAATACTGTCAATAATAATAATAAAGTTTAAAAAATAAATAAATAAGAATAAAAAGAATTGTTATATGGTTGGAAGGAAAATTTGTTTGGTTTATATTCTTTAAGACTTTTGAGATACTTAAGATAGAAATTGTTTATCAGGTAATTTGCCTTACCCATTTAATGCATATGAAGTAATTATCTAATACTGAATTTATTCAAGGTCTGAAAGTATGTAGAGCATACAGGCCACGAACCAGGAAAACTACCAGTTGGAGAAAGGGCTTTATTCATGGAAGAAAGGTACAATGTAAAGAGTAGATGTTTCCTGCCTTGATTTTTGAAATTTAGATGAATCACTTAAAACTTGTTATAGCTATGTTGGAAATTAATGGCAACTCTTACTATGCTACTACTATGCATTTAATTATTACATGGTTTTTAATTTGGCACTGTTTCATAGTTCACATAAGGCTTTGTTTTTAGTCTTCCTTATGGTCTTTCAAGACATTAATTTTTTAAAAGGCTTCACCATATTATTTTTTCTGCACTATGACTATATGTCATGTTATTTTCCTATAGTAAAACACGTCCAAAATATTTCATTCTTTAGGATTGCTTATAAAATTTCATGAAATCAAAGTGCCTGATGTAAAATCACTTGAAAGACTGGTTATTGTATTCATTTAATCTCGATGTCATTTTTGTGTGGGTATGATTACCTAACAATTACTCTTGCTCATGCTCTTTTTAATCTCAGATTTATTAATGAGCTAAATAGGATTTTACTTTAACCTTTATGAATTCTTGGTAGGTTTTTTTGGGGTCTATTTTCATAGACAAATGCAGTCAATTTTTTGTAAATAGAAAGTCGGTATTAATACTGAAATTTTTAATAATAAAAAGTAAACTTAAGACTGTACCAGACAACAAATGTCTAAGGAAGCTAAAGCTATAACATGAAGTATCTGTGTGGCTGTTAGACATACAATAGAGGACATCACTTCAGGAAATGGAAATTTAGGCAGATGACCTAGGCTTATTGATTATCTAGCCTTAAATGATTTTCAAGCCTACCAAAAAAAAAGGAGCGGGGGGAATTTTGTTTCTTAAGCTTTCACTTGGTAAAACGAACCATTAGCTGCCTGGTTTCCTGTAGTCTACAATGGAGCCTTGTTATAATATCCAAGGGATCTGAGCCAGTGGATCACCTTATTGGTGAAACCTCCTAATAATGAAGTGCTTTCAGTAGCTCGGCTCTTGGACGAGGTCCAAGACAACCCATCTTATAGCGAATTCCACTCCATAATAAACAAGCTCCGGTGTGTTAGAAGGAAAACAAAAGCTTATGAAACTTGCCATTCCCAAAAATTAACCTTTGACAATCTAATGGAAAACACTGATTAAAAGGAATATTTGTTAACAAGGTATAGTCATGTAGATATCTTAATATTCTTCATAATATATAAATTTGTATTTTTTTAAATCTTGTTCTTTCTTTTCGAAGTATTTTATATGATTTTGATTCTCATGCTTTTCCCCCAAATTTCATCATTTCACATTAAATTATTTTCCATCAGTATTTACAAAACTCCATATTAAAATGTTTCACTTGGCTTCTTGCTATTATAAAGTATGAGATTGTATAAGTGGAGTATCATTTATGCAAACAGATGCCATCATTTATATCTGATTCATAGTAGTTGAAAAGATTTAAGGATATTAAATACTGATTGTTATTATTTTGTATCAAGTATTATTTTAGTGTAGTTTTTCTTTTTCCCCCCAAAATTGTCTTATGGTAGTCATACTTAAATATTAACCTTTTTTCAAATACTGGTCTCTCTTATCTGTTGTAAAAGGACCCAAGTAACCTGCCTTGCCAGTCAGGACTTTGTTGTATTGCTTGTGGAACTGAATTATTACCTAAAGCAGAAGGAGGTAGGAAATATAAAAAATTACTTTGTGTCATCCTTAGTATAGGCTCACCTAAATTGCAATAAAGTAGATTGATGAGTTAATATTTCCATATTTTAGTCTTTAAAAGTTGATTGTTAATATACAAGGACTTTGTTATCATTAGACTTGGAAACATGTTCTAATTCTACCTACTGACTTATTTTGGGCAAGTTACTTCTTGGAATTTCTGTTTTTTCATTTTAAAATAGAGGCGAAAAATAATTTCATAAGAAATAAACATTCTGAATACCAATGCAGCAGAATGCATTAAGGCTTAATTTATTTTATTTAACATGAGGCAAAGAGAAAGATAACAGAATTTGAAGTCAAAGGAATTAGTTTCAGTTTTTGCCCTGCTATTTACTGAGTGGCCTTGGTCATAGTACTTTACTGAGCCTTAGCTTTATTTTCTTTTTCTTTTGTTTGTGGGTTTTTTTTTAATCTTCACCTGAGGATATATTTTTATTGACTTAGAGAGAGAGAGAAAGAGAGAAACACTGATTGGCTGCCTCCCGCACAACTGGGGATCGAACCTGCAACCTAAGTATGTTCCCTGACCGGAAATTGAACCCGCAACCTTTTGGCGAACAGGACGACATTCCAACCAACTGAGCCACCCATCCAGGGCAGAAAGCAAGTTTTAATTTAAAATTTTTTCTAAACTGTTTAAGAAGTTCCCAAAGCTTTTAATTTGGCCTACTCTATACTTAGCTTTATTTTCTGGGGTGGGGGATGAGGGGGAGGTGAGCATTACCTACCTAAGAAAATTATTGTGAGGATTAAATGAGATGGTGTATAATATATGAAAGTGCTCTATAAATTCTGAATCACTGTCCAAGTGTTAGTTGTTAGGAAACTGAAACAATAATCTGTAGTTGTTGTCTCAGCATTGTACCTTCAAATTTGGTTCATTTTTAGACTTGGAAACGTTCTAGTTTCACCTGCTGACTTAATTTGGCTGAAATGCACTTAGCTTCTTTGAAGAAAAAAAAAACTATATGTAGTTATTCTTTTACTAGCAAGACTTAAATATTGTGAAACCTCTTTTCTGTTTTTTACATTTCATGTTTATATCTTAGAATGTATGTACATGGCAAACAAAAAAAGTTACCAAAGGAACACTGAAATCCATTGAAAATATTCTTTGTAAGATTCATAGGGCAGGGCAGGGATTTTTTTGTGTGGAGGGTGTCTCTGTTGTTTATCCTTGTATTCCCAACACTGTATTAATTGACTAAATAAATTGAATGGAACATTCTATTAGTGTATTTGTTTCTGTCAGGACTTTATTATATGATACTTGGCTCTCGTAAATACCTTTTTTATTTGACCAATTTCTAGACTCTAGTGACCTTTCTCTTTCCAAGTTTTTTATTCTTACTGCCCTAACAGCATTAAACTTCTCATACTTTCTTCCTTCTGTTTTGGGCTAGAGATTCTCTTTTCTCTCTTTTTTACTCTAAAAGGTGTACTTGCCAACTTTACCTACAAAGAATGTTGGACTTCTGCACATTCTGTATGAGATGTCCATAAACAGTATTATTCTGACCCAATTGGATTCTAAAAATGAATTGAATTTCATATTAACTAATTGCTTAACCAAAATGTTGCTGTTTTATAAGCTTTTCAATCCCATTGCCATCCTCAAAGAGATTAATTTTTTCTGTCTGTTCCCAATGTCATATTTATTGTCTGATATTGCAGTTAAGTGTGTAGAAATCTATTTCTGGTACACCCAATATGGACAGCTTTCCATATTACCTAGCATTTATTCATCCATCCACTCATTCATCTGACATTTGGAGAGCCTGCTTTGCAATAAGAGCTGTGCTGTGCTCTAGGGATACCAAAGATGAGTAAGACA